GCATACTGTATATTTACATAGCACCACCAACAGATTTATTATCAATAACATTTTCTAACATGTCCCTTTTCACTATCCAGGGAGCCATTCTTGTCTTATAGTGCACATGTTAAGGTGCTAACAATCATTGAAATTCTTTATTACAGTCACTATGCCATTGGTTTATTCTGTACATTTGTTTACCTGCATACACCGTATGCATATTTATATGTACTTTTGCCACTCTTTGCGCCATCTGGATAGATTCTAAACTGCATTTTGTTGTCCCAGTACCTACTGTGTTCAATGGGAAAGTTTAATCAAATGTAGTATCAAAGTATTTATTTGTTCTTTGTAGAAGTCTTCTGTAATAATTTTCACAGTTTAAGGAGTCAGTGCAGTTGCAGTATTTGTACTATTATGTAGCTATCCTCCACCACAGTATAATCAAAAAGTAGTACTATACCTATGTTTTCAGTTGAATGCCACTGTAAACTTTTCCCTAAGCTTAGTCTTACCCCAAGTCTAACTGTGACCTCCTTTTTTATATCCTGAAGTAGCCCAGCCCAACCTACTTAACTGTAATCTTAATATTGCACAAATACGGTTGACTTAGATTTTTTTCAGTGTTACTGACCTTTGCAAATTTCTAGTAGAAACATGAGATGAAGAGACATTTGGAGATTGATTGAATTAGCTGTGAGTCTGGAGACAGCTTTATTTGTAGTATTGAGATTATCTGAGGACACCACACAATCACTTTCAGATTTGTAGCGTGTGATCAGACATCTTTGATAGAGCCTGCCTTAATCCAACACTTGATTAGAAGGCAATACATTTACATCCCAAAATAACGTGTCCAGTGTCGACTCTTCAAAATTTTACTGTTTCACTGTGGTAGAGAGACAGCTGGTCTGTCATAAGATCAGCTCTATTAATATCACAGAATGTTTTAAAGCCATTCATTGCTGTCAGTTATCAGAGGCCAGCAGCTGCTGCTTCTTGTCTCAGAGAACTGGCAAGCAGAACGTTTAAATGTCTGTACTTGTACTTACACATATAGCATGATGCACATATACAAATGCATTCACAAAAATTAGAGCCTGATATAGTTTGAGTGAAATTTAGTTTGCAGGTTGCCATCTAATGCTTTATGATTTTTCTATATTTTCATTTGTAGCAAAGAGGACTTGGCAAGATGTGGGAAGTGCAAGAAAGCCTTCTACTGCAATATGAAATGCCAGGTAGGAAACATTTAGGGCAGCAATCAAATGGCTTTGTAATTGAATGATTAATTTGTGATGTACAGTGACACAATATTAAAAATGGGCCATATATATATATTATATATATATATATAAGATGGCGCCGACAACTATGGCCACCTTGTGTACTCGTGCTCTCTTGTGTTTGTTGTTTTTGTTTATTTTCTCTGTCTTTTGCAACCCATCCCGAATTACTTTCACCAGAGAAGAACTGTTAAACATCGGACAACTCACACCAAACCACCTTTCTTGAACAAAGAATGCTGTGTGGACATTCTGATCGGCGGCACAGCTGCTATCTACAGGACCTGGAGGAAGCACTGATGAGGCAAACGAGCGGGCACCTTAGTCAGGCTACACCGGAGAGGGACCCAGACTCCACTCCCGTCCATCCACCTAGCGACTGTCCTCTCCCTAGTCAACAAGATGGATGAACTCCTTCTCGTCAACAGGACCAACTCTGACTTCGCACGCTCTGCTGCTTTATGCTTCACGGAGACTTGGCTCAGCGACTCCATCACGGACAGCGCAATCCAAGTACCGGGCTTCCAGGTGTACAGAGCTGATCGCATAACAGAGCTGTCCGGGAAAACGAGAGGAGGTGGAATCTGCTTCTACATAAATGAAGGTTGATGCACAGATGTTACGGTGCTACAGAGGACATGTAACGCGGACTTAGAGACTCTCTTTATCAACTGCAAACCTTTTTATTCTCCCCGAGAATTACTCTTTCATTCTAATTGGAGTGTCTATAAGACCGCAGGTCCATGCTAGCACACTACAGCTCCTGGCTGAACTGACAACTAGCATGGAGCTAGAACATCCCGACTCTCCACTCATTGTTCTAGGGGACTTTAACAAAGCAGATCTCACCCAAGAACTGCCCAAATACAGACGGCACGTCACCTGTCCCACCAGGGACAAAATCACACTGGACCACTGCTACACAACAATAAAAGACGCCTATCGCTCTGTCCCCCGCGCAGCCCTTGGTCTGTCCGATCACTGTATGGTCCATCTTATTCCAACCTACAGGCAGAAACTTAAAACTGCGAAGCCTGTAGTCAAAACAGTGAAGAGCTGGACTGAGGAGGCTAAGTCAGAGCTACAGGCCTGCTTTGACTGCACAGATTGGAGTGTATTTGAGGCTGCAGCTACAGACCTGGACAAACTCACTGACACTGTGAAATCTTATATCAGCTTTTGTGAGGATGTGTGTGTGCCCACCAAGTCCTTCTGCACATACAACAACAACAAGCCCTGGTTCACAGTAAGACTCAAGCAGCTTTGTCGTGCCAAAGAGGAGGCTTACAGAAGTGGGGACAGGATTCTGTACAGCCAGGCCAGGAACACACTGACAAGGGAGATCAAAGCAGCAAAGAGGAGCTACTCTGAGAAGCTGAAAGCCCAGGTTTCAGCCAACGACTCCTCGTCTGTGTGGAGGAGCCTAAAGAACATCCCCCCAATTCCAGATCCAGTGGCCGCTTCCTCGACAATAACCACCCTTCCTTCCAGCACCCTACCTCTAACGATCTGTGAAAAGGATGTGCATGGCATCTTTAAAAAACAAAGGATCAGAAACGCACCAGGACCAGATGGTGTGACCCCCTCCTGCCTGAAAGTGTGTGCTGATCAGCTGGCCCCCATCTTCGCACTCATCTTCAACAGGTCACTGGAGCTGTATGACGTCCCCTCCTGCTTCAAACGCTCCACCATCATCCCACTCGCCAAGAAACCCTCCATCAGTGGACTGAATGACTACAGACTTGTCACCCTGACATCTGTAGTTATGAAGTCCTTTGATAGACTGGTGTTGGCCCAACATGGCAGACCCGCTGCTGGACCCCCTGCAGTTTGCCTACTGGGCAAACAGGTCAGTAGATGAACGGTCATTATGGAATGGCATTACATTTTGCAACACCTCGACTCCCCAGGAACCTATGCACGGTTCCTTTTTGTAAACTTCAGCTTGGCCTCTTTGTGGACTTCAGCTCAGCATTCAACACCATCATCCCGAACATCCTCCACCACAAACTGACCCAGCTCACTGTGCCTGCCCCCAGCTGTCAGTGGATTACTAGCTTGGGAAAAACCACATCCAGCACCCGGACAATAAGCACAGGTGCCCCCCAAGGATGTGTGCTCTCCCCTCTGCTGTTTTCACTCTACACCATCGACTTCATCTTGAAGGACCCCTCTGTCCTAAAGTTTGCAGATGACACAACGGTCATTGGTTTCATCTGAGATAGTCATGAGTCAGCCTACAGATGTGGGGTTGAGCAGCTGGTCCTGTGGTGTATTTTATCTCTTTTCCTAATGCACATTCCCTTGCTTGTTGACATGTATGTACACATTAAGAGCCGCTGTACCAGAGTCAAATTCCTCGTGTGTCTGAAACACCTGGCCAATAAAGCTGATACTGATATATGGTATGGTTGTGGTAATGGATTGTGGATTTTATTGGCCAGAGTAAAATATCTCAACAGTAATTGGATGGGTTGACATGAGATTTAGCCAAGGCATTCACAGTCCCCTGAATCCAAATGACTTTGGCGATTGTTCAAGTTTTTATAAGCGCCCCCGGCAGGTCAAATATCATATTAGCTCATAATAGTATACTGTGCTTCTAAAACTACCGACCAAAATTGCATCACTTCAACCCCAGGGAAGGCACATCTGAGACTGACATAGTGCAGGGTAGACTGATGACAGTAATAGTGAGTGTGATATTGTAGAACTGGGCCTGAAATGCAGAGTCTGGTATGTCCTAATTGTAACTGAAACTGTAGAGAGGATGAACCCTTGTGTTTTGGGCAACAGTATGTCCTTTCCTCTGATGAAAACCTCAAGCTGAATGTTAGATGATTGCCTCAGTAGTGCTAGATATGAGAATAATGAAGCCGATCTATCCATCCAATATGTTTGTGTATGTTTTCTTAAACCTTTCATTATAGTTTAATCAGGGAAACATTTCTGTTTTTCAGATTAATTGATCTCATTCTTCTCAGGCTTTGGATAAAAGCAAAACTATAAGAAATGGACAGGATTTGTAGAAACAATTTTGTGTTGTTGACCACAGGTGTACTGACGTTGTATACTGTATGTGTGTTTGTGTGTAGAAAGAGGACTGGCCAATGCACAAACTGGAGTGCTCAGCAATGATTGCATTCAGAGAGAAATGGTGCCCGTCGGAGATGTGCCGCCTGGTGGCCCGGATCCTTGCCAAGAAGGTTTGACATTTGATAAAAGACAATGTCCACGTAGAGGGTTGTCTGGCACATACTTTGGTTCATTTAGGTCATTTCTGTTGATCCTGTTTGTTTTCCTCAGAAAGTGCAGAAAGACAGATCTATGTCTGAGAGGATCTTGCTGATAGGAGAGTTGCAGTCACGTAAGCTGTTGCTGTTATAACACAGACACAAGCCTGCATGTTTTTTGTTTGTGATTGGATTTGCTTTTTGGGAACAACACTTATAAATCCACTTGCAAAGTGTTCCAAGACGTGAGTCGGTACTTCAGTCCTATGTGTGCCTGCATTTCACCCTTTAAAAATCACAGTTCAGTCAGACCATACTAAGGGAAACACCCAGGGCCACATATTTAAACATCCTATAGTTGATGCACGCTTAACCAGTATTTTTTATATTAAAACAAAGTTTAAATCTTGTAAGAACAGAAACCGATGTTATACAAAACTTCATTTACCTACACATATTATTCTTAACTTATTCTGTATGTTCTTTTGGTTCCTTTAATAATAGAATATCCGAAATGTCTGAAGAATTTGTAAAATTACTTATTTTTTATATGGTGCCCTTTAACTAATAGTGTGAAGAAGAGCATGATTGTGTTTAAAAAACGTTAGATGCTTGTGTGACTTTTCTGTCTCTGGGCCTGAGGGGGGAGGTTCATCTTTCCTCTGAAATGCTGAGTCAGTTCAGTTATCTAATTTGCAAGGATATACTGACTCTAGTTTTACAGGTCACAGACAAGACGCACAGTCTGGCAGATTATAGTGTGCTATATATATGGATGAAGTGGTGACATTGGGTTCCTGCCCTAGCATAGTGAGAGCGATGAGAGAAGGAGAGCAGTTTATCTCTGTCTCTTTACAGTTGTTTAAACCTTTCTGAACCAGCAGAGTACATCAGAAGAGCTGACTTTGAGCTACTGTCTGTTTGCCTTTTGGATTTTATGTTGCTCATATCTCTAATAGCTCTAAAGATAGATACAGTGGAACTTTGAATTGCGAGTATAATTTGTTCTGGCAACGTGCTCGTAATCCAAAGCACTCGTATATCAAAGCGAATTTACCCATAAGAAATAATAAACTCAGATGATTCGTTCCACACCCACTTATCCATTTAAAAATGATTACAGTAATACAAAATACAGTATAAAGTAAAAATAAAACAAATTAACCTGCACTTTACCTTTAAAAAGAATCGTGGCTGGCGTGAGGGACCATTGTTGCAGTACAGATATTGACTATATGAGTGAAGCGCGAGAACCATTGGCTCAGTTGTGGCATACACAGACAAAGCGTACGTACTACTCATATAGTGAGACCTCGCTCATATATCGAATCAAAATTTTTTGGCTCGTCTTGCAAAACACTCGCAAACTGGGTTACTCGCAATCCAAGGTTCCACTGTATAAATCAGGTTCATGCAGGGTGAAAATGGTCATTCAGACAAGATAAGACAGATAAGTGACTGTACCCAAACTAGAATTTCATTTGGGAATTAGGGTAGTTTACTCTGTTGCTATCTCTTTTCTTAATTTTAGCCTGGCAACAGTGATGTTTATCTATTGTAGTTTCATATTAACGGAAGTTGCAATTTAATAAGTACAGCAAGAGTATGCTGCAGAAAAAGCATGTGTTCTACCCTGGCTAAATAAAAGTTGGAAAAAAAAATATATATATAAAAATGATTAATCAAACCTTTAAAAATAGATTAAATGTCTGTCCTTCTTGTAACAGATGTGGGTGATGTAGATAATGAGAGAAGAGAGATGAATGAGGCAGAAATTGCTGGACTGCATCATTTTTACTCCAAACATTTGGAGTTGCCTGACCACAAAGATTTGCTCACGCTCTTTTCTCAAGTAATACACACACTCACACACACAAATGGTTGGTGATAATAATGGCTATTGGTTTTCCATCTTTCTTTTCCTTGTCTGAAATAAGACATTTGTATGTGTATTATTGTCTTTCTATCCTTTATGCCCTTTATTTTTAACAGGTTGCCTGTAATGGTTTCACTATAGAGGATGATGAACTGTCCCACATGGGTACTGCAGTCTACCCAGAGTAAGAAAGAAAATTCACATACAAGGACATTTTCATTCTGTACCATTCCAATTTAACATTTAAATGTACAATATATTAGACAGTGCAGTCTCCTTACACAGCTTCTGTTGTGGTTTTGTTGTACAAAACAGCTTGGAGATGGTTTTGAAAAGTTCACATTCATTTCTTATTTTGAGGTATGGTAGCTAATTGTGTCTATATGGGTGAGCTCAAAATTGAATCTTTTGTTCACCTTTGATTCAATTTACAGATGCCCTCAAACACAATAAGCTTTGGCAATTTGTTAGTAGATGTTAATTAAAAAGTAGTATTTGTGTATCACTTAAAAGTCGGTATTCAGAGCAGCTTGAAGCAATGAGCATCAAACTTGTCCAAATTCCAGCATGACAACTTTTCTTCTCCAGTTGGTGTTTTTGTAGTAAAGTTAGTTTCATCGCTATGGCTCTGCCTGCTAATCTTTTAAAATCAGCTGTGTGGAGGTGAATTTGCCCTCTCTGCTTCATATTAAGTTATTTCCAGCCTGCCACCCAGGTAACAGCATGGTTGCTAACATACTGTACATTGTCCTAATGCCACTTAAAAATCAAGTTGCTGTGTCACTGTTAAGTTTCAGTGCTCCTACATCATTCATTGTAAGAAAAGGAAAATGTGGATTAGCATATTTATGCTGATTTCATTCTTTCCCTTCCTGTGTCTTTCCTCTCAGCTTGGCACTGATAAACCACAGCTGTCTTCCCACCGTCATAGTCACATATAATGGGACGTCAGCTGAGGTTCGCGCGGTGCAGAACATGAAGCCTGGAGATGAAGTGAGGAAAGGGGACAGCTGCCATTAGAGGGGGTTGGACCTTGTTCTTTTAATCTTTTTTTTTTAAGTATGCAGGGCTCCAGACTGACATTTCATACTTTAGGCACTGGTGCCACCAAGTCTCTCAGATGGTGGAACCAGTGCCAGATTTGGTTGCACCACCTCTGTTTTACAAAGTAATGCTAAAGATTAGTATTTTCATAAATTATTCTAAATAACCTCCAAAGTGCATAGCCTGTAATTATAATAAAATTCAGAGAGAGGGAGACTTAAGGAACACAGTAAATGGGAAAATCACATCTGGAACAGGTTTCCAGCTCTTTTTATGTAGTCACTGTAGTGCTCTATAGACTAGCAGTCATTATGGCATGATGATGAAGATTAGGTTATCAAACTGGGACTTCACTAGAAATGAGCAGCACATATACACAATTTAAGAGTTTGATGTATTCAGTCCACACTGACTCTGACCTCCGTGCAGCATCTCTTGTCAGAACAGCTGTCTGTCAGCAGGAGGACACCACGGTCTTCACCAGGCTGACTTGACAGCAGAATTGTATTGGATAAAAACAGTTTTCATGTATGCTCATCAGGAAGGAATCAGCAGTGTTTATACGTGCTGTTTATTTATTAGTTTCCCCGTCTTGGACAGGAGAAAGTAAAACCAGAAATCTCAGTGACAGTGACCTGCAGATAAAATGATGATAATAACGTGGAGATTGTTACATTTGTTCACTATTTCTACAGTGAGAGCAGTCGTTTGTGCATAACCCTTTTATTTAGCAGTTGCACCCAGTGCGACCTTTGACAAGTCAGTCACACCTTAAGTAAATTTGGTCACAAAATGCGACTGATCACTTACAGTCTGCAGCTCTGGTATATGTGGAGTCGTGCTTCCTACAATAAGGCAGTGTGTGTGAATCATATTAGCTTTGTTTGCAGCCAAACTAAAGGAAGATGATTTACTACTTCTTATATTAACAAAGTTAAAGTTACACACAAATGCCAGACATTTTTTCCAGTGACTTTCTAATTTAAGAGTTGAAATAGACTTGGATGTTTGTGCATCTGGTTTCATTATTAATACAGAGAAAAGCTTTTGGACAATGATTGTGTAACTGAAGGGCAAGGACAGTAGTGATGTGTTGTGAATAAGTTGGCTCTCACATTTAAGAGCCAAATTCTTTTTTTTCTTTTTGTATATTAATGCCCTAGCTTTTGATAATTAATAAAAGTCAATAATAGGGTTATATTTTCACCACACAGCTTGGATACTGTGTTGATATGTGTGTGGTGCAACCAGTCGTGTGTGATGATAGAGACAGATCATACAATCAGATTAAAAGGGACAGGGGCTGAGACTGGTACATGTTTTGGATAGTTTATTATACCAAACAATGTTAAAAAAAATGTATTCTGGAAATTATAAGGCTTAAGTAATATGTGTGCACACATGCCAAACATAGATCCACGCATTGCTAAATTTGGGAAAATGATAAAAGCAACAAGTGGTGCTAAATGAAGAGCCATTTGGGAGCTGAGCCAGATCATTGAAAGCCAGGAGTGTGACGGTTTTAGCATGGGCAGAGTGTAACGTCACTGCTGACACAGTTCAAGCACAGGTCTTGTCAGCATTAGACAGCACTGTTAAAGAAGGGCATTGTGTGCGTGTTATTGTCAGACTGATCTTTTGACCTGCACTTTAACAGCTATCTGGCAATAAAACTGTCAAGGATGGAGAATGTGCTTTAGGATTCTCATGTGCTGCGTGTTATTTCTATCTTTAGGTGCTCATCAGCTACATAGATCTCCTCTATCCAACAGATGACCGCAACAATAGGCTGAGAGAGTCCTATTACTTCACCTGTGACTGTCAGGAATGTACAAGCAAATCCAAAGTAAGACCTAGTTAAAAAAGTGAAGAGTGGGGGAAAAGAACTTGGTTGGCCCTTAATGAGACACTGTATATCCCACAGGTTATACAAGTGCCATTGTAATTTGTATGTCAAATTTAAAAGTAGCCCTTCATAATTTCATTATCATGCTCAGTCATCTGTCATCTCGTACAGGACAAGGTAAAGTTGAAAGTGCGTAAGCAGAGTGATCCAATCGAGCCAGAGGTCATCAGCAACATGGTGCGCTATGCCAGGAAAGCCATCAGAGAGTTCCGAGCCTTCACACACACAAAAAATATCCTTTATGCTGCTAAATACCGCTGTTCCTTGTGTTGTAAAATTCAGCTGCAACTTTCAGTTTTATGAAGAACACCTGCAGGAATTTGAAGTAAATAAACATTTAATGAGCCCAACATTTATTTGTATTCTCCAAACTGGAAAGCATCTGGTTAAATGATCAGAGGGCCTTTTGCATTTCTGTGCAATCTTCAGCTTGTGTTGATGCAGCCTTGACTCAGTGGCACCACCCAGTGAGCTGCTGGAGATGTGTGAACAGAGCCTGGAGCAGATGGGCACCGTCTTTGAGGACTCCAATGTCTACATGCTCCACATGATGTACCAAGCCATGGGGATTTGTGTCTACATGAACGATATAGATGGCGCTATCAGATATGGCGAGAAGATCCTCAAACCTTACAGGTGCAAAGAAACTGTCAACCTTCAGAAATCTTTCTCCACACTTTAACCATGTACATTAACACTCAGTCTTTGGGTTTCCAGTGGGCTTTTCTTGTGATAAATAATAAAATTCATTGAAAAGACAATTTGTATATTGTACGTATAAATTAGGGATGGGCAATGTTTTTCAAATAGCCGAGTAGCTATTAAATATAAGAAAATATTTCATAAGACTTTTTTCTTCAAAAACAGTCACCATTGCTTTTATGGGTACCCTGATTTTTGAATAATTGTCAAATAGTTTCCAGTGAATATTTTAGCTTGAAATGCCCATCCCTAATATAACTACATTTCAAATCAGTTGAGTAAAATTATTTATTTATTAGTCTGATATGTCCAATGCAGCCAGCTGTATCCAGCCTACTCCTTGAACGTGTCCTCCATGTACCTGAAGCTGGGCAGACTGTACATGGGACTAGAGAGGCGCTCAATGGGCATCAGCGCTTTAAAAAAGGTAATGTGACCTGCTGAGCTTTTATATCAGATTCAAATGCAGTAGGAACTTAAGGAATAATAGGCAATGCTATTTTAGCTTGTAACAGAAAAGTAATGAGTTTAAATATACTGAGACTGGAATCTCTAGAGCTGTCCTGAATGGCAATTCTTAGGCTTTGGGACATTGGTAGAAATAATCTGCAACTATTCAGAGTCTGGTAAAATGACAGCTTTCTGTCAATCATACATATGTTTTATGTTATGGTCCTCAGGGTGCAAGATGAGATAATATTCACTCTTAGGGTAGCGTAGTGTTACCAAAATCACTTAACATATCACTGGTTGTCTGTTGGTTATAACAATTAGGGGGATATTGATTAAACAAATCACTGTCAGGCGCTGAAAATATTGTGGCACCATAATTTTTCATTTTAGTATTTACCAACACTGATACCAACACACAGTCCTCTGCCAGTCAAATCATCTTATATTTCATTCAGTAATTGAAGCATGGTTGGACCTGAAAGCCTGTAAAAGTCCCTCACATTCTCCTCTGGCGAGCGATGCAATTTACAAACATGCGCTCACTCCTCAAACATATTCTTAACTCAGAAGATATCTCAGATGACTAGCAGCTGCCAATCTGACAGCAGGGCCACAGCTTTTACACCCATAGCACGCAGATTCCTGCAATGTAGGTTGTTTTTTTTTTTTTGTAGCACAAACCCCTACTGTTGACTCCTTAGTAAATAGAAACACATGCAATTTCACCATTTAATGCCAAAAAAATGAGCCAGACATCCTTTGTAAATATTCCCCTTTGTTTGGAAAACGTGTCTGCTGGCGAGCGATGCAATTTACAAACATGCGGGCGAGCGATTTACAAACATGCTCTCACTCCTCAAACATATTCTTAACTCAGAAGATATCTCAGATGACTAGCAGCTGCCAATCTGACAGCAGGGCCACAGATTTTACACCCATAGCACGCAGATTCCTGCAATGTAGGTTGTTTTTTGTTTTTCTTTTTTTGTAGCACAAACCCCTACTGTGACTCCTTAGTAAATAGAAACACATGCAATTTCACCATTTAATGCCAAAAAATGAGCCGGACATCCTTAGTAAATATTCCCCTTTGTTTGGAAAATGTGTCTAAGAGTGAGGCTATTGACTATTTTTGTAGTACCTCTTTTCACGCTCACTCCTCAAACATATTCTTAACTCAGAAGATATCTCAGATGACTAGCAGCTGCCAATCTGACAGCAGGGCCACAGATTTTACACCCATAGCACGCAGATTCCTGCAATGTAGGTTGTTTTTTGTTTTTCTTTTTTTGTAGCACAAACCCCTACTGTGACTCCTTAGTAAATAGAAACACATGCAATTTCACCATTTAATGCCAAAAAATGAGCCGGACATCCTTAGTAAATATTCCCCTTTGTTTGGAAAATGTGTCTAAGAGTGAGGCTATTGACTATTTTTGTAGTACCTCTTTTCACTGTTGAACTTTGTAGACGGTCCCTGTGCATCCATTTAGCTGCACGTACGATATTTCATCAGAACAGCACATCTTGATGAAAATTAAGTCCTAGCTCATTGTCTGTCTGCTTTCTTTTTTTGTAGCACAAACCCCTACTGTGACTCCTTAGTAAATAGAAACACATGCAATTTCACCATTTAATGCCAAAAAATGAGCCGGACATCCTTAGTAAATATTCCCCTTTGTTTGGAAAATGTGTCTAAGAGTGAGGCTATTGACTATTTTTGTAGTACCTCTTTTCACTGTTGAACTTTGTAGACGGTCCCTGTGCATCCATTTAGCTGCACGTACGATATTTCATCAGAACAGCACATCTTGATGAAAATTAAGTCCTAGCTCATTGTCTGTCTGCTTTAACACAGGAAAGAGGTGTCATTTGTGTTATAACGTTTCACTTATTTATTGATCCGGGAATTTTGAATATGTGAATATTTCGTCCTAGGATCTGTCTGCTGCTACTTTATTAGGTTATCTATCAATGTAATGCATACAGTAGGCCTATTTGGAGATTTGTTCAAACATTTTCAGAGATGCAAGTATCATCTGGCAGACCGAGTCATCTCCCTCATGTTTTCTTTCCCCTTCATCATCAGACTACATTGGAATTCCCTGCTGCTTCTAATATTTGAGTACTAAAATTGAAAACCAGTTACTTGATTGAACAAACAAATTTTCAGATAGTTGAATAATTCGGTCCAGCCCTAGAAATTATGTACATACTTGCACGCTGTAAAATGTTGTAAAAATCTTATTTGTTGGTCTGTTTACAGGCAATGGCCATAATGGAGGTGGCTCATGGTAAGGATCACCACTATTTGACAGAGTTACGCATAGAGATGGCACAAAAATGAAAAAGGAAAGAAATTATGAAAACATGGCTCCCTATGGACTGCATCCACTCTTTTCATTTAGAGCTTTACAGAACTGTAGGAAGCTTCTACTCTTTGTAATACTGAAACAAAGAGAGTGAATTCATGTGTTTGTGCAAATATGTATTTGTGGATTTAACTTTGTGTTGTTAGCAGCATCTTAAGTTTGTTGAATGCATAATACTTTTGTACCAAATGTGACTTTAACGTTGAGCTGTACACAAGTGAAAATCTTGACATATCGATTGTTTTTTTGTTTTTTTTTACTCATGTTGACCACAATAATAAAAACACATTTTAAAACAGTTTTTTTGCTGTTTCTGGTACAATTCACTTAAAGTTATGACCCCCTATCTAAGGAGACTGAATCTTCACTCTACTTTGTGAAGTGACGATTATGTATACAGCCTACATTCGTCTGTACTGTGCAGTGAATTGTACCTGACAAAAAAAAATGTTACTTTTTATAATATAAAAAATAATTGCATTGTTTTTGTGTGTATGGAAAAACATCAACAAACAGCTGAATAATTTTTTTAAGATGACTACGTGTCCTTGTTAAGTAGTGTTGGAGCAGTGCTTCAGTTTACAGAAGTGGTTTAGCCTGAATTGTCCACAGCCATTTGGACAGTCTGTTCAGAAAGGTCAAGATCAACTTTTAACATTAACGTGTACTTTACGCGTTAACAATATTTTAATAATATATTCAAATTTTTACTCATTAATAACATACAATATGCAAACAACACTGCCTTTTTGGCTTTCTATACCTAATGTGCCTCATTCTTGTCTTGTGGTTTTTTCATATTCAATCTGTCAAGGACAAAAAAGCACAATACAGTGAATCAGCTTCTTAAATGAAAAGTAAAATTTATTATTCCTGAACCACAAAATAGACTTCTTTGGTTGTACAAATTCACTAGTTAGTCTTGTATGAGCTTCAACCTTTGACCCTAGGACCTCTGATCCCTTACTGCCGACCTGTTTGGAAGTAAAAGCCCCCAAAGCGAACTCAAAGATATAAGCAACACAGATTGCTACTATGCTGTGAGTCTGCAAAAATATCAGTCAGATACATAAATGGACAGCCTGTCAGGCAATGAGCTGAATGTGATCAACATCTTGAGAGGGATTTCCAATTATTACTGTCTCTTGTGGCTCTACCATTAACACACCAATATACATGCGGAGAGCACCCTGAAACCAAGCCTGTCTAGACCCAGATGTGTCAGCAGGCTAGGTCAAGACCAGCTTGGTTTCACACCCAGAGTTTGCGTTGCTTTCAATATTTGTACATTATTCACACAATAATAAGTGATTTTCAGTGGCATAAGATTTAAATTAACCTTAGACAGAAAAATAAAACACCTGCTACCTTCACATCACATCTGGAATACCTCCAGACAACACAAGGATAATGCATGATTCACATTGATAAAATGTAAAACAATGCCCTAAACAGGGCAGGGCTAGTACCGCTGATTAAGCACATTAATGGTCATAGCCAGGAGAGTTCATCTCCCCCGTCAAAACCACCAGTGCCTCCCCACAAGGAGCCCCCTCAGAGACCTCCTCCTCCAAAGAAGACCGACGCATCCAGACCAACAAGGCTCAAGCCTCCACCTGCTCTAAAAGAAGCTCAGGATGTACACAAGGCTGCACCACCACAGCCTTGCAGACCCCCCCAAAATAGTTCAAAGTTAATAAAGCCCCCATTCCTCCCAAGCCCCAGTTAAATAGTGAGAATATGTAAAAATGGAGAAGAAAGAGAAGATGTTGTCAGTTTGTTCTGCATACAGTCTGCATCATTCTGTGACTTCACTTGGTGTAGGTGTATTTCTTCCTACAGTGCACTGAACATGCTTTATGACTGATTGTCTGACAGATTTTTTAACCTAATGTGATCATTGCGAGTTCTGAGCTTACACAGAAATCAATAATGCAGCTCTGCAAAACTTTGGCATTACAGAAAGGGGGTGTGTCATGTGAATGCACAGTGTCAGCTACATGACATCATCATCTAAATCTTCCACAAAGTGTCAATTCAAGTCATCTGTAGTGTCTAGGGTTGAAACAGACACAAGTGACACTGTAACAACCATTTTATTTAAGTGATTTGTTAATTACATTGATTAAAGTTCGTGATCTTCTGGGTGGTAAAAGTTTGCTCATCAGTCGGTACAGGCTCCACACAAATGAGATACTGTGCACAGATATGCCATTTTTGCAGAACACACCATTTGTTTTCATATGCACAGCATAATATATTACAGAGTAGACAGGGGATCCTGGAAATGCATAATGCAAAAGAAAGTTTGAATGGTTTATCTTAAAAACAATCTGCCTCTGTCAAATAATTCCAGTCAAAATGAAGGCTTGTTGGTGCTTTCTTTGTTTCTAGCCCTATATAGTGTGTCATACTGTCCACTGTTTGGATTACATTTTTAAAGTTTTTATTATACATAATGAACACCAACAATACTACAGGTTACATATATACACGCATTACTGATTGTGATTCTAAAACTACAAAATTTAAAGAAAAAACTAAAATAAACAAACTAAAATAAACTAAATGAAGACATCTAATCTTCAGGTTTTTGGTTACACTTTGTTTTATGGGTTTGACTGTTCCAAAGCACAGCATTTTTCCAGGAAATTATTGGAAAATATGGACCTCTAAAATAATATAATAAATTTTGTTGGGCTACATTTAAAGTTAAATGTAGTCTAATGAGCATGTGAATTATTAGTTTACTACTAATGAAGCTTTGTGCCACATTATTAAAGACCAAATAATACATGTTCAAAACAAAAATCAAAACCCAAATGAATGTAATAAATAATAAAAACAACATCATCAGGCCAAATGGACACTGTTGATTAATTAACAGCTGCTGCTTTAGATTAGGTCCTATGGTGGCAGCCCAGAGGACTCTGCTGTTTACATAGGCAACAAATCCAGATTCGCATTCATTACATTTAAGGAGTGTATTGTAATCAGAGACGTTAACCTACACGTATAACATTTCCAGTGCAATGGCTAGTATCAGCAGCTGAGAATCGCCTGGCATATTCCTCTCTGATGAGCTTAACTAAACAAATTAGTAGAATTTCTGAATGAATGTCAGACGTTTTGATTAAACCTGTTTGATCTTGGTGGATTAACATGGAGATGACTCTCTATTCTGGGGACTAGAGCTATGTCAGTGATTTATAAGCCTGTGTTTAAAACGATAACTAGAAGGCTGGGTTGGGTCTTTGTTGGGTTTTTAGCAGGAGTGTCATTACGTCATATGTATCAGCATCATTTCTGTTGTTCTATTCAAACGATTGAATGGGTCTTATGTTTGACAAAGACACAATCCCCACAGATTTTTTATTGCTGGCATTAAGATTTTGGCATGTTCCTCTTGGATAAACAACTAAACATTTTAACAACACTAAACTTACAACGACTCAGTTGACATTCAGTATCACTTGTTGTGTTGAACCAGCCATAAAGTGTAATGCAGAATGCTGAGAAAACACAGAGAGAAAAGAGTAAAATAAATGCTTTTCTTGCCCTTAATGCGACCTAGTGACTCCATTTTAAAGATGTTCTTCATCTCAGCTGGTTGACACAGAGTAAAGTTCCTCATCGCATATCATAAACACATTTCTCAATATGTCATGCTGCCCATTTAAACTTAAGGCACAAATGTGTCCTTTTGTTTTTAAATCCTCAGGCTGAACTAACACAGCAGCAGAGTTGATAACTTCATATATTTTATGGCAATGAATTTAACTCCACAGAAGCTGAAACTGACAGAGATGAAATACAAATAATAAAAGCTAGGAATACTTTACACATCTATAATTTATAAATATCTATACTGTACTATTATATACAATAATACATTGACATTTTTTCATTGAAAATCAATTAAATGTCTGTTCTTAAGACACAAACCGATAACCTATACATGCTTAATTCATTCAAAAACAGTTTTTTGGATTTAAACAAAATGTTCACCTCCCTACCCTCTGGCCGGAGGTTCAGAAGTGTGAAATGCAGGACCTCCAGACCGAAAAACTCTTTCTTTTCCTCTGCCATCAGACTCCTAAGCAGCTGAGGAGTTTATTACCAGGAAATACATCATGTACTGTTTACATTCTCAGTTTGCACATGCATAATCGCACATTGACTGTTGACTGCTGCACATGCTGCTCCCATGCAGCATACACTCTTTTATTATATTCTTATATATTTTTATTATATTGCTGCATTTGCTGCTTAAAGTGCCTTAGATTTTGTGTTACTTATTTATCTACTTTATATTTCATTTGTATTTTGTGGCATTCATGTGGACAGGTGTCAAGTAACGAAGTACAAATACTTCGTTACCTTACTTAAGTAGACATTTTGGGTATTTATACTTTACTGGAGTAATTATTTTTCAGGCAACTTTTTACTTCTACTCCTTACATTTTCACGCAATTATCTGTACTTTCTACTCCTTACATTTTAAAAATCGCCTCGTTACTAGTCCGATTTCATTT